GAGGCCTAGGTACTTGACCGTGTTAGCCATCTCCAGCTCGCTGCCGCCTAGGGATAGATGAGGCCTGGCAGTAACCTGCGCCTGGTAAACCGTATGATTGTAGTTTTGGAGGGGTTGATGGTTAAGCCAACTCCACTACACCACCCTGTTGCCAGCCGTAATCCCCTTTGTACAATATCGCAGAGAGTGTCTACGAACTTACCCCTGGCTAAGATAACAATATCGTTTGCATATCGCTGACAGCGGATTCCATTGCTAGTAAGCAGCTCAAGAAGATCGTCTACAACTAGGTTCAAAAACTGAGGGGATAGCACTAACTCTGGTTAAAAACAAGATCGTAATGACACCCGAACCGGTGCAGGCAATGCTTCTGAATAATGAGGTTAGGACTGACGCCTTCTACGCTTTTATTTCAGGTCTTAAAAATCACTCAAAGCTATTGTTTTTCCGGCTCAGCCGAAGGATCTAGCATCTGCTTTAGCATTAGCTAGAGAAGAAGAAGCTAGCATCGACCGTAGCATGTTTTCGGCCTCATACGCAAAAGCCATAGCAGAAAGAGAGCAGGAAAAAGAGCCGCGCCCATGCAAAGCAGGGAAAGCATAATAGGGACGAACGGGGCAGCGAAAAGAACCCTCATTTCGTCCGGAAACAGCAAAACAACAATGGTTACCATGAAACAAATAAAAGAGCTGAGAAGGGACAGGCCCTAGAGCCAATGGAAATTGACTTTTCTTCCAAGTTTAGGTACCGCACTAACTCCTTCAAACCTCAAGGGAGCAATCAACACGCTCAAAAGAGATCAAATACGTCCGATAGAGCCACAGAACCCTAATTCTGAGAAACTAAGATACGCAAATGCAGCAGAGGCTGCTGCAATTGAAATTAAAGAGGACACTGAGTCGCTGTGTGACAATGACTCACTGCAGTTTTCAGGGAACAATCACGACTGCCGTACATCTAAGACACAAACAAATCCTTTATGAAAATTGTTGGCCTCCATTACTGTGATAGTGTAAACTTCACAGGATTGTAATGATATAGTAGTACAAATGTCCGTCAAAAAGGAGTTCAAGAGCATGATATTGATAAGGTCAATGGCGTTTTCGACCTCTAACGAGGCATTACCCTTTTACACTTCGGTAACTGTCACGATCCGAACTATAGATAATGAACTAATCAAAGCCAATCTATATCCGTACCAAAATGGAGTCTCTGATTTCGTAATCAACGAAATCAAGCAACTGCTCAAAGATGATATTATTAGACCCTCAAAATCCCCATATAACAAACCTCTTTGGGTTGATGACAAAAAAGGGTCGTACAACAATGGCAATAAAAATAAACGGTTGGTAACCGACTTTAGGAAGATAAATGAGCGAACCATAGCCGATCGATACCCGATGCCGAGCATTCCAATGATTCTTGCGAATCTAGGAAAGGCAAAGTTTTTCACAACCCTAGATTAAAAGTCGGGGTACCACCAAATTTGCATAGCAGAACAGGCCGTGAAAAACGTCGTTCTCGGTAAACGGTGGAAAATACGAGTTCTGCCGTCTTTGCGGGGAGCATTTTTCAAAGAACCCTTGACGACATTTTGAGGGAATACATATTAAAGAAATGCTACGTTTACGTGGTTGACATCATAATTTTGAGCCTAAAAACTTATTCAGCTTACTTCCTTGACCTAGCTTATTGTTACAGGTGATTTATTAAGGACTTCGGGTTAATAGCGAGGCCTTTGGCCAACATTCGCAATGGAAATCATACATTGATGAACACAATGCAAAAGTGTTCTACAAACCCGGCAAACAAAATTTTGTGGCAAATGCCCTGTCCCGACAGAATGTGAACAATCTGGAAAATGAAGTGCAGTCAGATGCTGCGACAATTCACAGTGAGATATCATTATCCTACACGATCGATTCGACAGGAAAGCCCTTAAATTGCTTCAAGAACCAGTTCGTTCTCGAAGAAGCCAAATTTCCGTAGAAAAGAGACATCATAGTCTTTGGCAGAAAAATACGCCACCTAATAAATTTTACAGATAACGCTCGATTCGATTGATTTGGTGTTGAATTTTCCAACTTAGTTCTGGCTCTGCAAGAATATCGTGTTCGTCATTACAAACAAAGGTGAACAAACTGATATTGTCATCATTGAATACAATCGCGCTCATATTGCCGCTCAGGAAATATTAAACAATTCCTTCGTGATTATTATTTTCCGAAAATGGCAAAATTAGCCAATGAGGTGGTGATCAATTGAAAAACATGTACAAAAGCGAAACACGACAGGCGCCTTAAGAAAGAAATGCTTGAGGTAACACCAATTCCATCATATGCTGAAGAAATGCTCCACATTGACATTTTTTCAACGGACAAAAAATATATACACTGGCCAAAGAAAGTAGTCGGCAAATGCATTTTTTTATTTATTTTTGAAATATTACTTAGTATAAACTAATAAAAGACCAAAAACCAGTGTTTTTTAAAGCAATAATTTATTTAGTTTGTATCTTTATGACTCTTATGATAATAAAAACAACAATACTAACCAAAAAAGCAAAAAACTGAATTACTTCAAAAATAAAAGCAAAAACAGTATTCGACAATTGATGTAAAATCCAAGTTAAAAAACAAAATTCACTTTTTAATATCGCGTAACTCTTCCTTTTCTTCGGACTATTTCTTTTAAACGTCTTGGTATTGATTCGACCAACTTTCTTGTTATGGATGTGTCTATACTGTACCTGTATTTGGATTTTGTTTGTAAAATAGCGCTGTCTTAATCTTCTTTCTAAATGATTCCATAGATGCTCTATGGGATTTAGATCTGGACTTTGAGCAGGAGTTTTAATTACTCCAGGGCAATTGTTTAAAAGCCAAAGCTTTGTATTTAATGCAGAATGCTTTGGGTCGTTATCTTGGTAAAACTGGAAAGTCGCTCCGATTCCGAATACCAATATATTGCATGTGGTTCATGATTTGGCGAATAGGTTCCATTTTCCAACTCCTGCTGCTGACATACATCTCCAAATCACAACGCCTTCACCTCCGTGTTTCACAGTCGCCACTGTATTTCGCTCTTTCAGCTCTGTATTGGGTTTCCTGTACACAATCATCACATCAAAAAAGATTACATTTGCTCTCATCTGCAAAGATCACATTACTCCAAAATTCAGCGGGCTTGTTTATGTACGTTTTTGAAAAGCTTAATCTTTCCAATCTATTTTTTTTTTTAGAGATATGTGGCTTTTTTCGCGCAAATCTTGCCCTGTAGTCATTCATTTTCAAATAATTTCGAATGGTCTTGGGTGTCACATCTATATTTAGGCTTTCTTTAACACTTTTGGACCGTGGCATTTGTTTTTGGTTCTTTTTTGACCTGGCGAACCAACCAAGGTTCGTCTGATTTACAAAAGACCTTAGGTCGACCACACCTTAGATGATTTTCAACCGATTCTTATCTTTCCATTTTTTTATAATATTATATAATGAATAGTTGTACGTGGCCTATCAACTAATTCGGCTATTTTGCTTTCGGTTAATCCACTTTTAAAATACTTTACGATCAATTTTTTTATTTCTTCAGACACTTTTTTCTTTTTACGACCCATGTTTAATACTTCATTTTTTTTACTTTAAAAACGCTGATTTTTGGTCTTTTATAAGTTTATATTCAGGAATATTGTAAAAATAAATAAAAACATTCATATGTCGAATACTGGCCAGTGTATATACCAGCACAGGTGGAAGAGCAGCCTAAAATTAAAGCTGAAACGGATGACTCTTTGCAATAAGATATAGAATTGCAAGGTGTAGGTTAAAGTGGAGGGCACTTGAGAATCACGAAAACCTTGGAGAAATTAAAGCAAAGGTTTTATTGGATTGGTTGCCGTAAATCAGCTATGGAGAAGATTGCCAAATATGCCGACTGCATTGTACCTAAAGGTTCAAGGTCCAGGAGGTATGGCCAGATGAAGCAGTACAATTCGGGTGCGCCATTTAAGCAAATTGGCCATCAACAAGTGGGCAACGAGATACTGTGTTCCAATGGATTTACGTTCTGATCAAGAATTGAACTTCGAGTCAGCTTTAAGTCAAGGGATGTACCAGAAGCCGGGTACCCGGAAAACGGATGGAAATAATTCTAATAAGAGAAGGACGGCTGGGAAAGATAACACCATCCTAGAACGGAACGATCAGATTTAGGTGGAGGGCAGTGTGATGAGCTCGGGTGGTAGAACAATTTGAAGTTGCCAGAATGTGCTAGAAGCGATGTTTTGTTAAAAAAAGGGCTGCCGGATTGTTCAGCATATACAGCTAGAGTGTTGCCGTGTAAAGAACAATTGAGTTATAAGCAATAAGTTTTAAACTCGAATGAACAAGTAAAAAATGTTAAGTTATTTGGATTAGAAATAAAGATAAGTGTATAGCCATTAAATTTGAACTTTTAGTTAACAATCCAGTGATCGAACTCAAGAGTGAGTTACAAGGTAGGCGATTTATCGACCGATTTAAACTATTTGTTATTTTTTTTGGAGATTGTAGCATGTAAATATGTCATGCTGTCTCGTTCTGAGTTACCTCTTATATGCGTACCGTGTTTGTTATTTTTTGATTAACAGAATGACATACATTGGTTATCAGATCTGTTTTGTCTGTTAAACCTATAATTTTGTTAGCAAATAGGTTACTTATGTGTTACCCATAACAAATACATTGGTTAACGAATAGCCAACCTATGTGTTACTTATAACAAAAGTATTTGATTCCCAAATTTCTGTTAGTGTTATTGTTTTGGTTAGCAGTTTGTTGCCTTTAACATACAAACATGTTATCTATTGTTAGCTATAAGAAGCATATGTATTACCTCGATTTTCCTCAAAATGATATTTTATTTGTGACACATTTGTTACTTCTAGCAAATTCATGGAATATTGCATTGGTTTACTTTCTGTTACCCTAACCAATTCCAATTTTTTTAAATAAAATTCAATGTTTTTATATTATTTTATTTTATTTTATTGAAAAAGCGTTTTTATTGTAGTTAAACTAATCATTAAAATTAATTAATACCTAAAATGTAAACATATATTTATGTTATACAATATATAGGTTAATTATAAATATTAACACTTAAAATGTGTACTTAAACAAGTTAAGTACATTTAACAATACAATCTTATTAACAATTTATTATAAATATATATACATAAAAAATATGATTTGGTCCCTTAATCACAAAACTGCGCCATGTCATACTACATTACAGTCATTACAGCATAGGAAATAACATTGCTGCGACGATTCACATATGTATGTCATTTGGGCATTGCACCCTGGTCTGTTGAGATAATGTCAGCAAAACTGTTGAGGACCGCTCTGAAATAAAAACTACAAATGCATATATAACTAACTTCATTGTCGTATTACAGAGAATGGTCTGAGGATTGTATCCAGACCAATTTAAGCTGGAAACTAGTTGCCCAATACCCCCGACCGCCGAATACTTTCCGATAGCGGTGTTGTGTCTGACGGTCGATGCTCCAAAAATTTTTCTTCGTACCGTCCAGAAATTTGTGTATTTGGCAACGGTGGTATGAAAATGATGCACAATTTCTTCAATTTGATTAATCAAAATTATTGTCTTGATACCTGCAATAGAATTGTGTTGAAATTGCACTATTAGTTGTTTTTATAATGTATATTATTATTATCAATTATGATTAAATTATTCATAATTATAAAAATATATATTATTATAATGCCAATATATGGCCCCAATTATACAAGTATATAACATCTAGAATAGTTATATAATTGTAATAAACTTATATTCATTAATCTGCCATTACCTCACATAACAAGGCCAAATTACGGTAGTTCACGTACAAGTCGTAGAACTGGTGCACAGCATTCATTTCCTTTTCAACCAATTTACGCACAACCTCTATGCCCCACACAGGGAATATTTCAATTTGATACGCGGCTCCCATGGCGAAATGCGTGTTGCATTGAAATCGGCCACTTACGTATTTTTGATCTATCGCGATGACAGATGGTATGCTAAAAACTACGCGACTTAAATTATTTGAATTCAACTGCAATCCAATCAAAATAAAATTCAAAAAAACGTAGAACGATTTATATCACAATGGTATTCGTTTGTTGGTTTCCTGTTTTGAAGAGTTTAGTTTAATAAACATTTGTGAAAATTAACCATTAAGCAAAATTCGGAACTTACCTGATGCTCTTCCAATGGTAGATTCAATGGCTGCAATTTTTGACAGATTCTTTGTCTATGTGTGCATCTCTTTCTTTTGCATTCAAAAATTTTGCATGATAAATAGTTGATACTTTTACAGCATAATTTTTCATTTAACAACAAAAAGTTAAGTGTGATTATGTAGTAAATTAATTACCACCGTCTTGTAGGGTTGTTTTGTATTGAATAGTGCAAAAATAGTTTTAATTCAATACTTAACTTTTGTTTAAACCCATTTATTCATAAAATAACAAAATGGTTGCATGCAAAATATGCATTCATATTTTGTAAACGAAAAAAATAACTAAAAAAACAATAGTTATTCTGTTAATACAAAATTCATAATCTTGGGTAACGCAAAATCTTTCAGAATTCCTCTCTTGATAAAGACCGGCGTTAGATCAATTAGAGATATTTTTTGCCGAAATCCGCCAACACAAAAAAGAGTTCTATGCGAAAAAACTGAGGACCCCCGATGTTGGACCAACCAGGATTAATAACCTTTTTTATTTTTCATTTCAGTTTTATAGTCTTGCAACATGTTGCTACAGTTTTGTTCACATAACGGTTGTGTGTATCCCCTAAAAATAATCTTAGATTAATAAAGCGGTTTATGTATATACATATATATAATATATGATGAAAATGACGAGACGAGGTCAAACTGACTGTATGTCTATCCGACCGTCCGCGCAAGCTGTAACCTAGGTAAAAATTAAAATATCGCGATGAAACTTAATAGACATGTTCCTTGCCACCATAAGAAGTTCGGTATTGTAGATAAGCGTAATCGGACCACTGCTACGCCCAGAAACCGCCATCAATCGGAAACTTATAAATTGCTATAACTAAGCCGCAAATTAAGATATAATACAATACTTGGAACAACGAATCGCAGTAAGGAGCGGCTAATGTGGTTTGAAAATCTATAAAAAAAAAGTGGTCCTGGCCTCGCCCCTAATAAGTTTACTGTGAAAATCTGCCAAACAGTTCAAGCAATATCACCAGAATTTCCACATGACAATTTTATACGACACTTCTTACGACAATGTGAAAATAGGTGAAATCGGATAATAATTACAAAATATAAAATAAATAAAACTACAAAAATGTGCGACAAATTAATAAATACGTGCGTCAGAGACATTAAATTTTACTTCTAGGATGATACAAATGGGCTTTATAGGATCCGGTGTCGACATTGGCCGCTGGGCGTGGCATCGTCTACCACTAACATATATCGGGACCTATATATAATCTTGATACTCCTGTATCACGGTGCGAAAATTTAACGAAATACCACCAACCACGCCTACTTCCCATATTCCATCCGATTTTGTCATCACTTTCCTGTTTACAAACCAAGCACTAGTGAACATATCGGAATTAAACTTTGCAAAAATATTGCCTTTAGAATATATCATCTCAGGACTAAACATTGACGAAATCGGGCCATAATTGTTCCAGCCCCCATATACCGAATATGAGGACACCAAGCCTACGGCTGACTTTTTACCCTAAATATCGATAAAGTTGAAATTTGGAGAGAGTCCTTTCATGATAATTGTATGTTTGTAAGTCAGAAGTGGGTTGAATCTGGTCAATACTTCACTAAGCCCCCATATACCTGCGTGTTTCGACAATAACAGTATGTTTGTGCCTATAATGGAAGCTTTTTTATTAATATGTGTCATGTTGTGAGGCATGTTAATAATGTGTGGTTTTGTCAAAGTCGGGTCAATATTACCCCTTTATCCCATTTACCTAATATAAGATTTTCAAACTTTCGGTATAACTTATACCATTATTGCCCGATATATAAAATATGTAAGACACCTTATCAAAATTAACTTAACATTTTGTGACGAACATGGATGATAGAACAAAATCGAATCGACGATAAATTACCAGAAGCAACTAGACAGCGAATTCGTAGTTGCCAGAATGTTCTAGTAGTAAAGTAGTTAGCGAATTCGTAGTTGCCAGAATGTTCCAGAAGCAATGTTTTGTTACAGATTTACTATATAAGGGCTGCCGGATTGTGCAGCAAACACAGTTCTAGTTAGAGTGTTGTCGTGATAAGAGCAATCAAGCTATAAGCAAGAAGCTGTAAGCTCGAATAACGAGCAATAAGTGTTAAGTTGTTTTAATTAGAAATAAAGATAAGTGTGTAGCCATTAAATTGGGACTTTTATTTAACAATCCAGTGATCGAACTCAAGAGTGAGATACAGGTAGACGATTTATCGAGAAATCCGTTACAATTGGTGTCAGAAGTGGGATTGTCAAATAAATTCCCAAGGAGATAATTATATAAAAATGGCCAAGTTTAACGATCTGAAGATTCCACAACTGAAAAAGGAGCTGGAACAACGTGGTTTGGCAACAAATGGATTAAAAACTGAATTACAATCACGGTTGAGAGAGGCCATGGAGGCGGAAAACATTAATGTTGAGGAATATGTCTTTCACATGGAATTAGAAGAAGACACAACAAAGATAGAAGAAAAGGAAGAGGCTCAATGCTTGTCAAAGATGGTGGACATGAACATGCTTTTTTCTGCAATATCGCAGATGGGGACGCAGATGTCAACGCAAATGTCGACACAATTTAAAGAGCAGGAAACACGTATGTCTCAGATGTCAACGCAGTTAGAAACGCGATTGTCAACGCATTTGGAAGAGCAGTTCATAGCGCAAGATGCACGTATATCAGCGCAGGTGTCCTCACAGTTGAAAGAGCAGGATGCACGGATATCGCAGGTGACCTCACAAATAGCAGAAGTGTCCTGACAGATTTCGGAAGAACGGGATAAAATTAAAACTGAAATGATGAGAGATCGTCTTCCAAATGGAGTTGCGAAATCGCCGCCAGAAAGCCAATGAGTCTCTGCAGGAGTTTTCTACAGAGATTGAGAGGTTAGCTCACTTAGCTTATGCACATAAATCCGTGGAATACATCGAGGATATGAAAATTCAGACTTTCGTCAATGGAATACGAGATACCACTACACGCTTCGCTGCATTAGCATGTCCAAAATTGACGTTTGCAGAAACCATTTCGTATGCTCTGACACAGGAAACTGCATCTCTGCTTTGCAATCAAACATTTAAAGCTCACAAAGTAGAAATAGAGGAACACACTTGGGTGAACCAATTACTTGAAAAAATGGACAACATGCAGAAAGCACTGGAAAAATCTAAGGAAGCGCATAGGAAAAATGATGGTGTGTTTAAATGCTTCAACTGCGGGAAAAGTGGCCATATTGCACGCAACTGTAATCAGTCCAATAATCCAGTTGGAGGTAAATGCAAAGTTGAGGAAGAGCAAGGAAATATCAAATCAAACCAATCGTTAAACTAAAGCGAGCCAGCCACAAAGGGCACGGGCTGGCTCCCGCAAGCAAATGCCCTGTAATCTCCATTTCACAAATAAGCAGGAATACGAGTATCGTTACCGTTAGTGGATGTGTAGACGGTAAAAAGCGCATACTGACTGTGGATACGGGCGCATCACATTCCATAATTCGATCTGATCTGGTTGAGAAGGAAGTGAGACCATTAGCTGGGGCAAAGTTGCGTACTGCAACTGGAGAAGATACCCTAGTTCTCGGAAAGGTAACGTGCGAGATCGTAATTGGAAAGACAGCCGTGTTACACAATTTTATAGTGGCAGACATCGTTGACGAAGTCATAATGGGAGTAGACTTTCTAGCGAATCAAGGAATCAAAATTGATCAGGATTATGTCCTATAGAAATATGGAAGTGCCACTTATGTTCAGTTACGATAATAAGTACAACGTCAGACGAGTGATAACAACAGAGAGCCAACAGGTTCCACCAACATCAGAAGCAGTTATTTGGGCAGAAATAGATGGAGACTATGGGCCAAACAAGTGGTGGATTGTTGAGGCCACAAAAGAATCTACACCTAACTTACTTTTAGGCAAAACCCTGGCTATGACAAGACAAGATAAACGTGTTCCAGTAAGAGTACTTAATGAGTGCAAGTTACCAATCAAACTCTCCAAAGGAGCTATATTAGGGCAGTGTCAAGAGATGGAGGCCGTGATAAATTGCGAAATACGTCTTGAGGAAGATTACATGGACGCAAACGACATATCGAGCGAAATAAACGAATGGACCGAGGAACTAGAGGCAAACCATCAAATTATGGCTAAACAACTTCTTCTCAGATACTCATCCATATTTGAAAAAGACGATACCAAACCAGGAAGAACCAAAGTTGTGAAACATTTCATTAACACAGGTGATGCAATACCAATCCGACAGGCTCCTCGAAGCGTTCCTTTAGCAAAACGTGAAGTTGTAAGCCAGACCATACGTGAAATGAGTGAAAGCGGCGTAATCGAACCATCAGAGAGTCCGTGGAGCTCACCTGTAGTACTTGTAAAAAAGAAAGATAGCAACATGAGATTTTGTGTGGACTATAGAAGGTTGAATGATGTAACAAAGAAAGACAGTTATCCACTACCTAGGATCGATGACACACTGGACTCGTTATCAGGCACAAAATGGTTCTCAACACTTGATTTGAAAAGTGGTTATTGGCAAGTGGAGGTAAACGAAGAAGACAAAGAAAAGACGGCTTTCAGCGTTGGAGATGGTCTATGGCAATTTACCGTAATGCCCTTTGGATTATGTAACGCTCCTGCTACTTTTGAGAGACTTATGGACCAGGTATTAAAAGGATTACACTGGAAGACCTGTTTAGTATACCTCGATGATATCATCGTGTTGGGTAAAAGCTTCGATGAACACCTTAAGAACTTGGAAGAGGTTTTCCAACGGATAGCTAGCGCTGGTCTGAAGCTGAGTCCAAAGAAGTGTTCCCTTTTCAAAAGCGAGTTAAGCTACTTAGGACATAAAGTGACAACGGAGGGCATTTGCACAGCTAATGAAAAGGTCGAGGCAGTCAGAGATTGGCCCAATCCTAAAAATTTACATGAATTGCGGAGTTTCCTTGGACTGTGTACTTATTATCGACGATTCGTTCTAAATTTTGCCAGCGTAGCTAGTAGCCTCCATGAACTCACGAAAAAGAACAGAGTTTTTGAATGGAATCAAGAACAGGAAGTGGCTTTCCAAACTCTGAAGAAGCGATTAAGTACTGCGCCAATGTTAGCATATCCGGTCCCAGGATCAACGTTTATTTTGGATACGGATGCTAGTGGATTTGCAGTAGGAGGCGTTCTATCACAAGTCATTGCATTGATGGGCATGAGAAAGTGGTTGCATATACAGCCAGACAATAGTAAGCCAGAGAGAAATTATTGTCTTACTCGGAGGAATTACTGGCGTTGGTGAAGTGCATCAAACATTTTCATAAGTACCTTTATGGCCAGCGATTTCGGTGAGAACAGATCGTGCAGCATTAAATGGCTTCTGCAATTCAGGAACCCAGAAGGACAGTTGGCACGTTTGGATTGAAAGACTCCAAAGTTACGACTTCTCTATAGAACATCGCAAGGTAGTAATCATGGAAATGCTGATGCCATGTCCCGCCGTCCCTGTAATCTGGAATGCAGGCATTGCTCAAAAGCTGAGGCCAAAGAAGACATTATAGATGTCCGATTAATGATTATAACATCAGACTGGTCCGGAGGAGCTACGGAAATGTCAGCAAGAGGATCCAGATTTTGAAAAGTGTAATACATGGATTGGAGATGAATAAACGTCCAACGAGAGAAGAAATAGCTGCCAGCCCAGTCGCTAAGGCTTATTGGGCACAATGGAATAGTTTAAAATTAGTGTCTGGCTGCTTGCATCGCGTATGGGAAAGCGAAGATGGGCAAGTTCACGAGCTCTGATGATTATTCCAAAAGTAAAAATTGCTGAAGTTCTCAACGAGCTGCACAACGGTCCAAGTGGGGACACATGGGTATCACTAAACCTTGGAAAAATTAAAACAAAGATTATTATTGGTTGGTTTTGTCAGTCAGTTACGGAATGGATGCCCAATTGTGTCGAGTGCATTGCTGCTAAAGGGCCGAGGTCCAGGAGTCATGGTCAGATGAAGCAGTACAATTCGGGTGCGCCGTTTGAGCGAATTGCCATGGATGTAGCTGGTCCATTTCCTATCAGTAAATTAGGAAACAGATATGTTTTGGTAGTCATGGACTATTTCAGCAAATGGCCAGAGGTATACGCAATTCCTAACCAAGAGGCAGGATTTGGGTATCGAGATATGGTGTTCCAATAGAATTACGTTCTGACCAAGGGAGACATTTTGAATCAGCTCTAATTCAGGAATATGCAGAAACTGGAATCCGGAAAACGCGTACAACTGCACTACATCCGCAGTCCGAAGGCATGAGAACGATTCAATCGAACTTCGGAAGAACATTTGAGGAAAGTTGTGGACAAGTATCAAAAAGATTGGGATACTCATATATCCTCGTTCCTGATGGCTTATCGGTCTGCTGTACATGAAACAACGGGGCAGACTCCAGCAAGGGTAATTTTTGGTAATGATCTTCGACTACCGATTGATTTAAAATTTGGAATTAACGCCAACGGAGAAAGGAATACTAAGGAATTCAATAGCATCCTAGAAGACGAGATGAGGGATATACATGCTATGGTAAGACAGCGCACCAAAATTATGAGCGATAAGGTGAAATCAAAATACGACAAGGCAATAAACTCTGAAGGTTTTATTGAAGGCGATTGGGTATTGTTATATAACCCACAACGAAAGAAAGGGTTATCTCCCAAATTACAGTGTAATTGGGAAGGACCATACCAGGTTATTAAACGACTCAATGATGTAGTGTATAGCATACATACCATTGAAAGACCAAGGAATAAAATGCAGGTGGTTCATCTGGAACAGCTTGCAGCGTTTGGTACCACAAATATGTCTAATCGTAACGATCAGACTTAGGTGAGGGCAGGTGACGAAC